GCTGCTTTCTAAAGATATCTTTTGACAGCAGAGCTATTTTCTACTTTCTAGTTCTGCAGCAAAATCCATTCCAGATATCACTCAAAGAACACTACATGATGAGAGAATCTCTCTTCCTATTACAGGCACTACGAAAATCAAGGAAGAGAGAAAAGTAAGTGTGAATTTGAGAAGTGTGTTCTGCTATCTATATGCAAACTCTTCCAGAAATGAGGAATGTTTTTTTCCAAATAGGAGATGCTTGTCCATGCTTCTTTCCTTTTGCATCATCTACTGCATTATTTCTGCCTGTTTACAAATATTATTTAACCAAGGTCCACCGATTGTGCCCTCTAGTGTGCTTGGACTACAATCCCCGAGTTGTCTCTGTTTTGGAGCAGCATCCTTAATATAACAATGAAGATATTCCTCTGAATAGTCTGCCAGTCCAAATATATGAAAGGGAAGTAAAAGTAGTCCTCAACGTATGGCCATTCATTATGTTTGAAATTATGACCACACTGAAGAAAATGACTTGTAGTTGATCCTTGCACTTACGACTATCACAGCATCCCCAAGGTAATGTACTACAATTTGGGGTACTTGGCAATCAGCATGTATTTACAAACAGTTGCAGTGTCCAGAGTCATAGGCCTGCCCAAGAAGCTTCCAACAAACAAAGTCAATGGGGAAGTCACATAGGCTTAATGATCCTGTGATTTTGGTTTTGCCCCCGCTCTCTCTGTCTCTCTCTGTCTCTCTGTCTGTCTTTCTGTCTGATTCTCTCTCTCTCTCTCTCTCTCTCTCTCTCTCTCGTCTCTGTATGTGTCTCTCTCTCCGACTCTCTTTATCTCTTTGCCTCTCTCTGTCTGCCTCTCTCTCTCTCTCTCTGTCTCTCTCCTTGTCTCTCTCTCTGTCTCTCTCTGTCTCTGTCTGCCTCTCTCTGTCTCTGTCTGCCTCTCTGTCTCTTTCTCTGTCTGTCTGTCTGTCTCTCTGTCTGTCTGTCTNGTTTTTAAGAAGATGTTGGATAGCCATTTGTCTGAAGTGGTGTAGGGTTTCCTGCCTAGGCAGGGGGTTGGACTAGAAGACCTCCAAGGTCCCTTACAACTCTGTTATTCTATATTCTATTCTATTTCAATCCTTAGCTAGAAACATTCTCCTTATTGGTAACACATGAAGAATTTCAGTATAAAAGTCTAACTGGGAAGCACCCCGTTATGGCCAGTGTCAAACTCGATTTCATTGAGGGCTGCATCAGGGTCATGTTTCACCTCAGGGACCATGGTGGGTGTGGCCAGAGTGGGTGTGGCCAACTCAACATCACTCATGTTGGGGGCGCCTGTGGTAGCCCAAGCGGTCTGCCAGAAAAATATGAGCTCCTAAGCTCTGTTTCTGACTGTCATGGACTCCTGCGACACTCTTCCAGCAAAAATGGAGCTCGGGAGGGCTGCCTTCCCAAACTCTGTTTTTGCTGGCAGAGGCTCCACGAACCGCTACTTCACTGTTTCTAGGGCGGCCCCATGGGTCAGATTTAAACCCCCTGTGGACTGGATCTGGCTCACGGGCCTTGAGTTTGACACCACTGTGTTAGGGCAAAGATGTGTATCTTTATGAATCTATGATTTATTTTTCATAACTAATGTCATACATCAGCTCCTTCCAAGCGTTTCAACAATTCAGCTCACCTTTCATCTTCAAGTGAAACTCCCCCAAATGTACTTCAAGGGTCCCCTCAATCAAACACATATCCTGAAAGATAAATACAGAGCAATGAGACTGAGCGTATTCTGGCATTAAAAGGACCTATTCTTTTCACTCTTTCAACATGATTATTGGCTATTTGATTTGACTCCCTAATTTCGGGGGAATACAAAAGAGAACAGCTGGCTGATCTGCAACCAAAAATAGAGAAATGCCCTTTCATGGAAGTATAGTAACCCATTTCATTGTCATTTAACACATCTCATTATCACTTGTGTAAAACAATTGTTTAAAAAAAAAGTATCCTGGAAAGGCTGGGTTTTTTAATAGTTTATTTGAGTAGCCTTGTACTCTCTTTGCTGGCAGGCCCTTTAAAAAGGTTAAAAAATGCTTTATATGCTCTATCTTTCCCGTGAATTGTTAAGAGTAACACTGATTAAGGTGTGATTAAATCTGTTCATGGAGACAAGGAGAAAAGTACTTTAACACATTTCTCATCAACTTCACCAAAATATGGTAATTATAATGGTTAGATTGATAGAAATCCACAGTAATCCACAGATTACTTCCAAATAAGACTTTGTTGCATAATTGTTCCTGCCTCATTCACAATGAATCTTCGACTTACGACCACAATTGAGCCCAAAAGTTCTGTTGCTAATTGAGGCAGTTGTTAAGCGAGTTTTGCCTCTTTTTCTTGTGGCAGTTGTTAAGTGAATCACTGCAGTTGCAAAGTTAGTCACATAGTTGTTAAACTAATGTGGCTTCCCCATGGACTTTGCTTGTCAGAAGACCGCAAAAAGTGATCACATGATCCCGGAGCACTGCTACCATCATAACGATGAGTCAGTTGCCAAGTGTCTGAATTTTGATCACATGACCATGGGGATGCTGCAATGGTCTAAAGTGTGAAAAACGGTCATAAGTCACTTTTTCAGTGTCATTGTAACTTTGACTGGTCACTAAATAAACTGTTGTAAGTTGAGAACTACCTGTTTATTTCACCATTAATAGCATGCTTCCTCTACAAATGCTTCCTTCAGAGGTGGTATTCAGCCGGTTTGCACCAGTTTGGGCGAACCCGTACGGGAAATTTGGCCTGGGTCGACAAACCGGGAGCAACCTCTGGCTGACTCCACCCCCTGCCTGGTCACCTGATTGCCTGGTTGCCACTCGCTCGCCCTGCCCACTCACTCGACCTGCCCATCCCAGCCCTACAGATATGTTACTTTTGCCATATGGCCCAGCTAATCGCCTCTCCAGTCACCTCGCCGACCCCCGCTCAGCTCCCAAAAGTAAGCAATGCATACCGCTCGCTCACCCTTCACTTTGGGTCAGGGTCCCAAATGGTGNACACGTGCCACAGGCGGCACGCGGAGCCCTCTCTGCGGGCACACGAGCCGTCACCCAGCTCAGCTCCACCGTGCTTGCGTCCCCCTGGCCAGCTGATTTTAGGATCTCTGCTGCGCATGCAGGACACATGTGCGCATGGTCAGGAGGACGAGAGGGAGGATGGGGGGAACAGCACGCCCCCCTGAATCCCATTTTGATCCAAGGAGGCTTCAGGGATGCCTGCTAGGCCCAAAATGGGTTGTGGGAGGAAGAGTCGCATGCACATGCATGAGGGGCCTGGTTGTATGGGGGATTTGTGCGTGCATGCGCAGGGGGTTGGGGCCCAAAAGGGGATTGTTGTGCATACATTGCATTATAGGTGTGGGCACAAACATGCACACTGGCAAGCGCACACTTCGGCACACAAGGACAAAAAGGTTAGACATCTCTGCTGTAGAGCCATATATACATCAATAAGGAAATTTAACTGAGCACTGACTTAATCCTCTGGAATTTGCTTACTTACTTGAATTTTTCTTACTTGCATGTTTGTTAAGGAACTGTCAATAAGATCCCAGAAAATGTCAGTGGGAAATCTGTTCCCCAAAATGGAGTGTTTGGAGTCTGAATATTTTTCCTTGATCTTCTGGAAAAATGCCTGTATTTATTGGAAAGGGTTCTTGCTTGCACAATGTTTCCAGGAAATCCACACATGCTTATGCCAGTGTTTATTAAGCCTAGAAGTAATGAAATTAGCAGATGAACTTTTGCAAAAAGTAGAAATTAGGTTTTTTTTTAAATAAAAAAGGTCTAATTCCCAAAGTCCCACAAACACCTAATAATCCACCTTAGTTTTTAGAATCCAGGCTAGTTTAATTCAACTGCTAATAGTTCAGAAATCTATGTTAGCTATTTATCTAGCCAAGCCAAGTTTGGAGAGAGGCAGAAGGCTAAATATCTGTGTAAAAAACATAATGCTCAAAAGTGGGGAAGTAATGTCTGGGTCTTGAAGGATTATTATTGGCTATTATTTCTTATTGCCCTTGAAATGCTTTCTGCAAGTGTTTTAAAGAACAGTAGCTGAAGTGCAATGGTGATAGCAAGATTATTTGCTTTATTTCAGGTGGATAACAAAAGGCAAGATTTGGAAATCCAGGACAGTAATAAAGTCGATGTTGCAATGTTGAGTCGCTTTGTCCGGATGAATGAACTCCGTTGGGTGACTGAGTACAACCCCATGGTAACAAATGAATTTTCTACAAGCTAAATAGTACAGTTTATTTGACTGCTGAGTTTATAATGATCTAGCTTTAGTTTATAATAATAGGTTCAGTTTATTGTTATAAGGGAAAGAATTGATATATTAGAAGGAAAGTTTTAATGTCAGATTATCTGTTACCCTAAACAATTCACAGTGGCATATGTGTGGTGTGTGTCATGTGAGCAGAAAGGGCAAACCTCAGAGTTATGTTGACCGCAGAGTTAGGTTGCATGTGATTTCCAGAGACCTCTAAAATTAATGACTAATACAGGGTATCTCAATACTTATTGCTAATTGGTTTTGGGAGGTGTAATGAGTACCAAAAATGATGAGTACCATGAATTTTTTTTCCATAAGGATAATGTAGTGAGTCACCAGGCAGCTGACACTGACAAGTTCTAGCTTGTGCATTGGGCACTAAACCATCAGTAATGGGACAAAATGTTCATGTCAGAATGCGTTATATACCAAAGTTAATGAATTTCAAAGCAGCTGAGCACCAATATACCACTGCAATTCTAAAAAAGAGCAATAACTGCGAGAGAGCCGAGGTGGCGCAGTGGTTAGAATGCAGTACTGCAGGCCACTTCAGCTGACTGCNGGAACCCTGTCCAGGGTCCTCCACATCCTCCAAAGCCGACTCAGTCCCTCACTGGTCAAGATTAAGTCAAAAGAGATGATTTTACCCTAATCTTTTCATTTATTTACTCTCTTTACTTTATTTCAGGTTGGAGCTGGTGGTTGAACCATGGATTGGTGGACTTTGGGTTGCACTTAATCAAGAGTTTGCATCTAGAAAAGAAGACAAAAATGCATCTTTTTGTGCCAACAAGTTTTCTAATCTCTGTATAAGCCGCCAAGCAGAATGCTTGAAAACTGAAGATTCCGGTGTGAAAAATAATCTTTCATCAAAAGAAAATATTAACTCGGAACGTCCTACTGAAAACTCTCAACCTTCACTTTCTTTCTCAGGGTCACCCCTCTCAAATGCAACTCTTAATATTCCTGCTTTGCCACCAGAATTCCTAGAGGTGCAGTTGGAAGAAAGCTGTGCTGAGGTAGAGTCTCCCATATTAAAGAAGTTTTATAGCCATACACTTCAGAATCTGGAATCTGGAATTTTTTTTAGAACTCATGTTAAACCTATAAAAAAAAGTGTTTACAATTCTGTCTTTAAAATTATTTTAATTGAGTAGCTGGTAAAACAAATGAGGAAAACATGGATGTTAGCATGAATTCTTCAACAGCACCTTATCTTCCTCAGACTTAATTGGATCTTTAATAATTAAGTTTTTTTTCTTGCAACCTCTATAAAGTAAGGACTAGAATTCAGCAAAGTCTGGGTCAGAATGAGGGGTTGTACTTGGAGTGTGCTGAGATCCTTGTTCTTCCATCCATTAAAAACACTTTCGCCCTTACTACTTTGATTTTAGCATTCTAACATAGGAAGAGGCTTAAAAAACATGGATGTCATGTGAAAATGAGGGTGACACATGTTGCAGCAGGGTGGAAATAAATGTTAATCTTCTCTGTTGAAATTTGTGCGGCCCTAAGAGGGCTTTAGTTGGGTGGATTGTTCATCTCAGTGGTGGGTTTCAAAAATTGTTCGAACCTACTCTGTGGGTGTGGCCTCCTTTGTGGGAGTGGCTTGCCGCCCATGTGACCGGATGGGNGGGTCCACTAGTGGAACCTCTTCTAACCGGTTCGGTAGATTTGACGAACCGGTTCTACCGAATAGGTGCGAACTGGTAGGAACCCACCTCTGGTCCTATTAAAAGTGAAACCACCCAAAATCACTCTGGCAAGCTATTTTTCCCCCCAAGGTAGTTTGTTGATTTACATTTCTTTTCTTATCTGCTATTATATGATGAGCCTTGAGTAAATGGTTTTCCCTCAATTAGTAACTGTGAGTGTGAATGTAAGGCCTAAAACAGGACAACTGTTGAGCAGAAATAATACCAAGAACTCAGGGACAGCTGTCATCTTTATGTTTATCTTGGTTAAGGAAGGTTAACTTTCTTTTGTAAAAGTAATTTCTTATATTTTTCTTTGTGAAAATGTTCACATAAGGATAAGGATCACATGCTCCTTTTTTTAAACAGCAGCCAATTAAATAATAGTTCTCTACTTAACTAGAATCAGGACTGGAATTTTGGCCACTAAGCAATATACCGTATTTTTCGGAGTATAAAAGGGGCTGAAAATCTGGGTGCATCTTATACACTGAATACAGCATTTTTTTGCCTCCCGAAACCCCACCCCTTCACCAAAATGGCTGTGCATAGCCTTTAGGAGGCTTTTAGAGTGCTCCTGGGGGCTGGGGAGGGCAGAAATGAGCAAAACATGGTCTGTTTTGTTGCTCAATTTCGCACCACCACCCCCGGCCCCCGGGAGCACTCTATAAGGCTCCTAAAGGCTAAGCATGTCCCTTTTTTTTGACAAAAAACGGGCCCGTTTTCACGAAAAAGATTGCAGAGTGCAAAAACTTTTTTTTTTTAATTTGCCTCTTCAAAATCTTGGTGCATCTTATACTCCGGTGCTTCTTATACTCCGAAAAATAGGGTAGTCATTAAGCAAGTAATCAGGTGACCCGCTCCAATTTTATGACCATTTTTACCACAGTCTTTAAGCAAATCATGTGGTCCTTAAGGAAATTCAGCTTTCCCAATTGACTTTGCTTATCAGAAGCTGGTGGGAAGGTTTCAAATTGCAGTAATGTGACCATAAAACTCTGAAACCATTGTCAGTTCAGGCCAGTTGTCAAGCACCTGAATTGTGAACATGTGGCCTCAGGGTTGGTGTGATGGTTGTATTATCGAGGATCAGTGGTAAGTCATTTTTCTGAAGCCATCATAATTCCAAACCATCATTAAATAGCTATAAGTCAAGGGCTACATGTAATACCTATTGGTCTATTTAATTAAACTCAAGTCTCTTTCAAGTCTCTAATCATGGTCTCTACGGAGGCATGTCTATATTGTTTTCTGAGCAACAGAATGGAAGCGGATTACTACTGTTTTCCTTCAGCCTAAAAATCCAGCATGGTCTTCATCCAAGTAGCAACCGTGATCAACTCTGCTTATATTTTTTGCAGGGACAAATCATTTCCATGTTTTTGGCAAGAAAATTACATGAATGTGACCATGTCTCACTCAAGCCTTAGTCACCTGTTCTGACCCCCCTCGTCCCACACTAAAGCACGCCGAGCCAAAGATACTTTACGGAATTTATTAACA